GGTATTCAAGATGTGAAAGAGAAAACGATGATTTTAGTTTAACGAATCATATGAGGATGTCTTTGCTATCTGCTGCTGAAGAACTGCGCGTTATGTTTTTCTTCAAGGCTTTAAACCACAACTTCATTTAAATTCTCATAAGCAAAGTTGCTATTCTGTTTACTACTAACTGATGCTATTGCCTAATCGATAGTGTTCATTGTGGGTTGGTGCGATAGATTCCGGCTTCATGACTGAGATTTAGCGTTTCAACCATCATGCTGGTAGTTAGTACTATCTACAAGACTACAACTTTTTATATTACAAAATAATCGTTCGTTATTTCTTATTGTTACTCTTTTCTTCTCACTTTCTTTTCAGTGAAGACTCTTTTTTGTCTGCTGATGTACATTTGGCCTTTCTTTCTTTTTTTATTTTTTACTTGCAGAGCAAACGAGGTTCGAGTAAAAAACAAACAGAGAACAGACAATAGCCTCAGCGGGGAGAAATTTTGATTTGAGGGATCAAAGACATCAACCTTTTTTTCAGTCTTTTGTATGTGAAACTGACAAATATCATTAAAAGGGATGCTTGCTGTCTTAACATCGGCAAAAGGCAGAAGGGGATGATACCATGTTCCTCTTTTTTCCGAGACGCAGCTAAATATTGTATATAGTCAGGTTTCCTCCATTTTTTTTTAAAACCATCATGTGATCGCCTCATTCTAATATAGATGAGAAGGGAAACAATCTTTAATTCTTTCCATTCATTTGATTATTCTCTTTCCTGGTACGTGTATGCTGGGATTTTGGCCCAAGAGCTGTTGGAAAATATGGCTTAGTGAGCAACTTTTGGCATAAGTTTGAGTGGGATCCATTCGTTCTTTTTCGAAGATCAAAGTTGATTTGTGTTCTCATCGGATGAGAATATTGAAATCATATATTTATTTGCCAAAAATTATGTTCGGGTGAATGAGAAATTAAAGTTTAAAAGTGATGAATTAAAAAATATTAACGTGTTAGAGGAAAAACGATCTAAATTTATCTCACATAGGAAAATGATAAAAGTAAAGACCATTTTATACGTGGTTGCACTTTGAAAAAATGTAATCATGTATATCATAGCGATTTTTTTCCACGTGCACGTGCGGGTATGGACCAAAATTGTATATTGGGCCTTGAACTTGTGTGAACGTCAGAACGTGTGAGTGTTTGTACATAGATTCGTCGGAGCAGTGTCTATAGTGTTGAGACTCTACTTCTTAGGCTATTTAAATTGATTGACACTGATATATAAAAAATTATGTTAAGTATGAGAAGAAATCAAAAAATAATTTTTGAGAAAAGAAAAATAGAAAACATTATTGAAATGCATAAAATTTTTTGACTTTTTCAATTTAAAGTTGCTCTTTATAATTAAAGAATCTTTTGAAAATGTCCAAAGAGACATAGGTTCATTAGAAATATAATGGGGGATTTTAGTGATATTTTCCATTTGAACCCTTCAAGAAGAGAGAATGCGACTCAAAAAATGTGACCCCCTTTTGCCATATTACGTTTCTAACACTTTCTTTTAAAATCATGTTATATTCTTTGTATCGTTTCGATTTTATTGAATATTCTTAATTGACAAGTGACTACGGATGCATGAATGAAGTAAAAGTTAATAATGAAATAATACAACATTAACATAGGAAATTGTAACATGAATGACCTTAAATATTGCCCTTGTTTGATAGAGAATAAAATCAGATTTTTAGTAAATTTTGATAAAAATCGATGAAATGCATGGTTGAAAACTTGTGGATCCCATGAAATATATGGTTAAAATTAATTGTAGACTTTCATTTTAATCCTTACCAAACTGGGCCAGAGAAGAACAAAAAAAAAAAAAGGTCATATAATCGAGTGGGACCACATAGTACTACAACAAAATTTCAGAAATGTTTTATTAATTAAGACCACGTTTGGTCTATTAAAATTTGATTTTAATCTAAATCAAAGTCAAACAATCAATATAAA